GAAAGCGAACTTCCAGGTCGCTGAAAACCTTAGTGGCAGCCTAGCTACCTTGTCTCCCAATATTTCATTAGTGCAAGCACACGAAGGAAAAAGTATACAGAAATCACGCTCCCAGTATAATTTGAAGTCAGAGAATTTTGAAACTTCAGACCGAGTAAGACGAGGAAAATCAGCAGATCGCAACATGGATTCTCACAGGCCCACCCCAGTAGCATCCCACAGGCTCTGTGGAGCGAAGGCAGATGGAGATAAACTGCAGGGAAGTCAGGAGAGGGACGCCAGAAAAAGAAAGTAATGTTCTTGGCCTAAAACTACTGCCAGAAAGACTAGGTCCACCTAACTCTCAATCTAAAAAACATGTCCAAGCAGATCTGAGCAGAAACCAGAGGGAAGGGGCTTCAGAGTGAGCACAATTTAAAGGGGGCAGGTGTGACTTAATGAGGCAGTCTTTGAAACACACAGCTTCAAAAGAAAAGAAAAAAAGAGCTAGTGAAGGGAAAAAATGAAAAAAGGAGAAGCACTTTTGACAATTAAGTGATGAAAAGAAAAGAAGCAAAAGACAATTAGGTGATGAAAAGAAGAAAAGGAGGAAAATTTAGAGTCCTGCTAGTCAAATGAGAACTGCAAAATCAGAGCACTTACAACTCCTCCCTGAACATGCCAACAAAAATACCAACTAAAGTATTTAATACCTTAGCTTTGTTCTATTATCAGAACAGATCTCAGCCATGAAACATGAAAATATAAATAGCATATATGAATGAATATTGATAAGAAATGAATTTGTCATTATTAGCAGATGATATGATTATACATGTGGAAAATACAAAATAATCTACAGATAAATTAGAAATAATAAAATTTAGTTCCACTTTCAGCTATGAGTGGATTGGCTTGAAACGGAAAGACTTCTCATCAAAAGCAATTAGAAAAGCTAAATTTGATTTAAAAACAAACAAAAAAAACAGCTGTTTGAAGGATTGGAGAACTACTAATGTAAGAAGGACTTACGGGATCAAGATCCCAGAACAAAAATTGCTGAGAGGTGAGTGTGGTGGTAAAACTTTCACCTCCAGGCATTTTTCAATTCATAGGTAACAGAAGAGAGGCCAGGCAAGAGACAGAGAACCCAAACAGAAGTTTTAGGCAGTATCACTGGGTGGGGGAAAATACGAGGTTAGTACCTGTCAAGGAAGTGGCACTGGTAAACAGTATTCCAGTTAGGAAACCTGAATGGCTACACATTAGAATGAAGGGCTAATCAGAAATAGACCAATTTCTTGGTATTAGTTCCACTCCATACTGGATTAAGCTGCTCTGCCCCTACCTGAACTGCCTGCAAGAAGAGGCAGTAAATTCTTTCTGGAGAAAGACATCATCTAGATCCTCAAATGATTAATACAAAGTTTTATCTATGATATACAGCATCCAATCAAAAGTTCTTATCAAAAGACGATTACATTGTGAAAGAGCAAGAAAAATAGAAACAATCCTATGGGAAGTACATATTTCTCAGTTATCAGAAATTTTTAAAGAATCATGATGGGCCGGGTGCGGTGGCTCACGCCTGTAATCCCAGCACTTTGGGAGGCCAAGGTGGGCGGATCACCTGAGGTCGGGAGTTCAAGACCAGCCTGACCAACATGGAGAAACCGCATCTCTAATAAAAATACAAAACTAGCCGGGCGTGGTGGTGCATGCCTGTAATCCCAGTTACTCAGGAAGCTGAGGCAGGAGAATCGCTTGAACGCGGGATGTGGAGGTTGCGGTGAGCCGAGATCATGCCATTGTACTCCAGCCTGGGTGACGAGCAAGACTCCGTCTCACAAAAAAAAAAAAAAAAAAAAAAAAAAGGCCGGGCGCAGTGTCTCACACCTGTAATCCCAACACTTTTGGGAGGCCGAGGCAGGCAGATCACAAGGTCAGGAGTTCAAGACCAGCCCAGCTAATATGGTGAAACCCTGTCTCTACTAAAAATACAAAAATTAGCCAGGGTGGTGTCAGGCGCCTGTATTCCCAGCTACTCGGGACGCTGAGGCAGGAGAATTCTTGAACCCGGGAGGCAGAGGTTGCAGTGAGCCGAGATTGTGCCACTGCACTCTAGCCTGGGGACAGAGCAAGACTTGTCTTTAAAAAAAAAAAAAAAAGATGATGAATGAATGAATTCAAGAAAGTAGAAGACAAGATGAAGAATTTTAGCAGTTTATTTGTTTGTTTGTTTGTTTTTTAAGACAAGGTCTGACTCTGTCACCCAGACTGGAGCGCAGTGGTGTGGTGATGGCTCACTGCAGCCTTGACCCCCAGGACTCAAGCAATCCTTCCACTTCAGCCTCCTGAGTGGCGGGGACTACAGGGTACATCACCACGCCTGGCTAATGTTTTAATTTTTTGTAGAGATGAGGTCCTACTATGTTGCCCAGGCTGGCCTCAAACTCCTGGACTCGAGCAGTCCGACCACCTCGGCCTTCCAAAGTGCTGGGATTACAGGCGTGAACCACCATATCCAGCCTGATAATTAAAACATTTAAAAATTAAAGGGACAATTTCACTTCTGGACAAGATGGATTAGCTGTATTTCTTTCTATTCCTCCCACTAAGCACAGCTAATATATATATATAGACTCAAAAAGGCGGAAAAAAGAAGGCAGACCAGCTAGGGACCTCAGAATGTAAAGAACATGAAGCTGAGTTCCCTGGGTTTCCTTTTTGTCTCCTATGTCCTATACTGAGTGCTGGAGAAGCTGGCAACCTAGAAATGCCAAAGGGTGCAGACAAGAAAAGCCCAAAGGAAAATGGAAAGCCTTCTCTCTCCAGACAACGGACCAGGAAACAGGTAAACAGGTATCCTAACAAGACAGAATACTTTTGGACAATAATTTCACCACTCTGGACAAATGCCACAGAAAAAACTGAGGCCCGTCTTCACTCCTTGCCATCAAGGGCTGAGAGAGGAGGCTAGGCTTCCACACTCACCGGCCGTAATGAAGCGCCCCACCCACACCCACTTGGACTTCTGGTCCACCGAACAGCAGTAATGAGGCTCCTGGCCATGGTGGCAATGGGGACCACATGGTGAGCAGTAACAAGGCACCTCCTCCCTGGGGAATCAGTGAAGGCAAAGGCAGAGCCGGAACTTCCACTCCCACCTGGAAGTAGCAAGCATTTCCCTATGCCCCCCAGCAGCACGTGTCAGAGCAAGTCTGCTTAAACAGAAAACTTAAATTCCAGAATCTCATAACAAATACCTAAAACATCAGGATACAATTTATAAAAATTGTCATTCCAATAGCCCAGAAAATTTCGACTTGAGTGAAAAGAAGACAACAGATCCCAACATCAAGATGACACAGATGTTGGAATTATCTGACGAGGACTTTAAAGCAGCTCTAATAAAAATACTTTAGTGAGCAATTACAAACAAACTTAGAACAAATGATAAAAAGAGTCTCAGCAAAGAAACAGAAGATATAATGAGGAACTGAACAGAAGTTTAGATATGAAAAATGCAATAATTGACATGAACTCAACAGATGGGCTCAACAGCAGAATGGAGGGAACAGAGGAAAGACATACTTTCCCGTCAGCAAATCTGAAGACAGAATAGTAGATAGTACCAAATCCGAATGATGGAAACTAGACTGAAAAAAAAATTAGCATAAATTCAGAGCTCTGTGGGACATTAACAAAAGATCTAGCATTCACATCATCAGACTCCCAGAAAAAGAAGAGAAACAGTATTTGATAGGAAAAGTATTGGAAGAAACAATGGCTGAGAATCCCCCAAATTTGGCAGAAGCCATAAATGTAATAATCAAGAAGCTGAGGATATCAAGAACAGGATAAATCCAAAGAAATCTACACCAAGGAACATCATAACTTCTGAAAACTAAAGAACAGTTCTTGAAAGCAGCGAGAGAAAATATATTTTAGCTACAGGGAAAAACAATTCCAATTGTAGCCAATTTCTTATCTGAAACTATGGAGGCCAGAAGGAATTGGCACATTTTTCAAGTGCTGAAAAAAAGAAATTGTCAACTTCACATTCTATATCTGGCAACAATATCCGATCCCCCAAGAATGAAGCGAAATCAAGACATTCTCAGATGAAGAAAAACTAATAGAATTTGTCACCAGCTGACCTACTCTTTTTTTAAAAAAAAAATGGCTGAGGGAAATTCTTGAAACAGAAAGGAAACGATTAAAAAAAGGAATCTTGGGACACTAGGAAGGAAAAAGAGTAAAATATGCATAAATCCAGTAAGCTTTCCTCTTCTCTTGAATTCTCTTATGCCTGACACTTGAAGCAAATATTACAACATTGACTGATGTGGTTCTCTCAATGAAAGCAGAGGAAATACTTAAAAACAACTATATTATAAATGAGTGGGGGAAAGAACTTTACAGGAATTAAGGTTTCTACACTTCACTAGAATTAAGTCAGCACCAGCAGATAATTTATGTATCTATAAAGTGTGGGTTTGGACAGCAGATTTTAGCAGGTTGAGGGCTCAGGCCGAGAGCATGTAGAAGCAGTTAGCTCACTCTTTCTAGATGTGGCGGCTGACAAGGAAAGAGGGCTGGAACTAGAACAACTGTAGAAACAAGGAAAGCAGCCAGTGGAGAAGAGAGCGTATGCTAGAGAACGTGGATGATGGAGCACAGGCGGGGAGGTAGGATGAAGGAAATGGCTCTGGGAAGAAAGGGTCTCTGTGTATGAGAAAAGAAGAAATTGGCTGAAAATACACATTAGAGACAAGGTGAAGGAAATTGAGGGAGTTGCCTGAGGATGATTCTCCTCCCAGTCAAGTAGGCACCTGCTGAGAGAAAGGATAAGCCGGGATAAGGGAGATGATGATGGTTAGGGGAGCAGAAAGCGGGAATGAAAGACATTCTGAGAGTGTCAGAAGCTAAAGCTGAAGCTTTTGATCTGTCGCTACTTAAAAGCTGTAAGATAACGAATTGATCAGCAGGTGGCAGTGTCCGCGGAGGCTCGCATCCCGTCAGCCCTGGCGCTCGGGGCGGAAACAGGCGCGGTGGTGACTTTCTGGCCTGCATCGCGTCTGCTCCTCTATCCCGGCTGACGTTGGACAACAAAGATGGCGGCAGGAACCAGCAATTACTGGGAAGGTGAGGGCGAGAAGGCCTCCGGGTGCGTCCCACGAGGGTGAGAGGGGCTGAGTGAGGACAGATCTTGGGAGAAACAGCAGAGGAAAGAACCAGACCCCCGGAGCGGCCGAGCTGAGCAGCGGGGCTTGCCTAAGTAGGAGCCCCAGGGCCTTTTACCGAACGGTCTGGGGCAGGGGTCTGGCCTGGCCGGCCCCTGTGAGCGGGACGTGGGGCAGGGGTTGGACAGAGTGGACAGAGCGGGGATGTGGAGGAAGAGTGATCTGAATCGCCTGGGTAGAATTATGTTGAGGGAGTAATGGAACTCGGACGAAGGGGCTTGGGGTACGAACTCTGAGAGGAAACGAATGTTGAGGGAGAAGATCCAGAGCCCGGGAGACTGGAGGAGTCGGCGCAGTGGAGTTGAGGTCACTATTGGAAATCTGAGTGGGAAAAGAAAGGAGGAACTTGCATTCCGGTCCGCCGGAGGAAGTATGAAGAGAATGGGAGACAGAATGTCTCCTGTTGGGTCCGCATGACAACTACAGGCTGGGAACTTCAGGATTGGGTGTTTGAAGGAAGAGAAAATAACTTACCATACTGCTCTGGAGTCTTAGAATCGGTTTTAATGAAAAAGTTGAGAGAACCTGTGTGAATTGCAGTTACATTTGCTATACTTCTCCCACCAAAAAACCTTCTTGTGATTTGACAAATGCATTTATTTAATTCCTGAAAATATAGTCCGATAAAGTGAGCTTACCTAAAACTCATTCCTGGACCGTGGTGATCAACAAGAGCAGAGAAAGCTCACCTTTTTCTCCCAACTCTCTCTTTGCTTTACTGCAGCATAGAAACTACTTTCCAAATTCCTTTGACCTGTTTCTATTGCTATCCACTGAAGCCTCTAGAAACCACAATATTGTCACTATCAGCCTCTTGGTCTAAGAAACTTCATTCTAAATTTATCCAGATTTGCCTATCATACTTTCTAAATGCTTTTACTTGTGTTTCCTACTGGAGAAGACAATTATTCCAATCACAGAAAAGCGTGCTTATAGTTTAAAACGTGTATCACCATGCCCATTTGAAATGTGTGTACTAGATAGAAAACTTTTTATTTTATTTTATTTTATTTTTTGGAGACAGAATCTAGAGTCTCGCTCTGTTGTCTAGGCTGGAGTGCAGTGGCGCGATCGATCTCGGCTCACTGCAGCTTCCGCCTCCTGCGTTCAAGAGATTCTCCTGTCTCAGCCTCCTGGGTAGCTGGGACTACAAGTGCGCACCACCACACCCCTAACTTTTTATTTTATTTTATTTTATTTTTTGGAGACAGAATCTAGAGTCTCGCTCTGTTGCCTAGGCTGGAGTGCAGTGGCGCGATCGATCTCGGCTCACTGCAGCCTCCGCCTCCTGCGTTCAAGAGATTCTCCTGTCTCAACCTCCTGGGTAGCTGGGACTACAAGTGCGCACCACCACACCCGGCTAATTTTTGTATTTTTAGTAGAGATGGGGTTTCACCATGTTGGCCAGGATGGTCTTGATTTTCTGACCTCGTGATCCGCCCGCCTCTGCCTCCCAAAGTGCTGGGATTACAGGTATGACCCACCGCGCCTGGCTGCTAGAAAACTTTTTAAAATTATGTAGAAGAGGCTACTGATATCTTTATTACTAGTCGTTAGGCTGTGGTTTTTTGAAGCAGCATGTTATGATATTATAGCAGCTTATTACTGACAACCTACTCTGTGCCAGCTGCTTTAAGCATATGATTACCAATACATAGGCAAACACTGAAGGTAGGGGTTTAAAAAACCAGAAGCTGAAGGTCATAGGTTAAGTAGATTGTTGATACATCTTAGAGTCAGTAAGTGGCTGTGCCGAGATTCGAACTGGCTTTTGGTCTCTGGGTAAATATGCTTCACTATGTTAACTACGCTTTCTATTTCTGGTTGAAAAGCATATTGAAATAATGTTTCGTATTCTTTATCACTGAAAGAGAGATTCTTATACCATTACCTCTGGTACTTCTGCCCTTTTATTTTAACCTTTACTTACCTTGAATGAGAATACTCGTATCTGTGTGTGGTTGTCCAGACTGTGGCTTCTGTCACACAACCCCTTAGATGCCAGACTGCTAAACCAATTTCTCTACTTGCTTGTTTGCTTCTGCTGTTAAAACTTACTTACTTATTTCTGTCATACTCATATTCGACCTTGTTAGTAGCACATAGTTTATTGTTAGTTTTAGCCCTCCAAATTACTTTCAGTAAGTTTTTTTTTTTTTCTTTTAAAGACAGAGTCTCGCACTGTCGCCCAGGCTGGAGTGCAGTGGCTCAGTCTCTACTCACTGCAAGCTCTGCCTTCCAGGCTCATGTCATTCTCCTGCCTCAACCTCTCAAGTAGCGGGACTACAGGCACCCATCACCACGCCCGGCTAATTTTTTGTATTTTTAGTAGAGACAGGGTTTCACTGTGTTAGCCAGGATGGTCTGGATCTCCTGACCTCATGATCCACCCGTCTTGGTCTCCCAAAGTGCTGGGATTACAGACGTGAGCCACTGTGCCTGGCCTCAGTAAGTTTTTTAAAGGCGATTTTTGGCCAGGCGCGGTGTCTCATGCCTGTAATTCTAGCACTTTGGGAGGCCCAGGCGGGAGGGTCACTGGAGCTTAGGAGTTCGAGACCAGCCTGGGCAACATTGTGAGACCTCATCTCTAATAACAGAAAAAAAAGAAAAAGAAAAAAGAAAGAAAAAGGCAATTTTCATGGTAACTTTTTTTCTTTATGTCAATTGAGAAGTCATTTTGATCTGGGCATAGTGGCTCACACCTGTAATCCCAGCACTTTGGGAAGCCAAGGTCGGTGGATCACTTGAGGTCAGTAGTTAAAGACCACCCTGGCCAACATACATGGTGAAACCCTGTCTTTACTAAAAATACAAAAATTAGCCAGGCGTGGTAGTATGTGCCTGTAGTCCCAGCTACTTGGGAGGTAGTTGAGGCATGAGAGTTGCTTGAACCCAGGAGGTGGAGTCTGCAGTGAGCCAAGGTCATGCCACTGCACTCCAGCCTGGGTGACAGAACAAGACTCCATCTCAAAAAAAAAAAAAAAAAAAAAAAAAAAGTCATTTTGCTATTATGCAAAGAAGTTCATGAGCCTATTAAAGCTTTGGAACATAAAAAGCAAAATCCCTTTCAAAAGAATAATGGCTTCTTTCTTATAACATTAACTGGTAAGTTGATAATGCTGGTCATAAACCATAGTTTTAGTTCATTTGTGATTTGTATTCTCTTCTTGTTTTTCTCTGAATTACAGAATTTTAGTTATCGCTATATAAATAGTTTCAGGAATGGTAGAACAACTTTTGTTTTCTAGCCATCTTTGGAGTAAAGCTGCAAAGTTGCATCTCCCATTACTACTTCCCTTCTTGTCCCCTCTGAAGTTTATAAGTGACTAATCTGCTTTGCTGGGCAAGTCCTTGGTTTCCTTCTTTTTAGACTTTTCTTTTCCTTTTTTTTTTTTCTTTTGAGACATAGTTTTGTTCTTGTCACCCAGGCTGGGGTGCAATGGTGCAATCTCGGCTCACTGCAACCTCCACCTCCCGCGTTCAGCGATTCTCCTGCCCCAGCCTCCTGAGTAGCTGGGATTACAGGCTTGCGCCACCACGCCTGGCTAATTTTGTGTTTTTAGTAGAGATGGGGTTTCTCCATGTTGGTCAGGCTGGTCTCGAACTCCCGACCTCAGATGATCTGCCCATCTTGGCCTCCCAAAGTGCTGGGATTACAGGCGCAAACCATCGTGTCCAGCCAACACTTTTCTTTATGGGTGTAGCTAGATCAGTATATGATCATTTTCATAGTTTGTTTTCTTCAGAATAGTCTTGTGATTTTTGTGTCTACTTTTTATGTCTAATTATTTGTTGTTGTAATTTTGTTAAAGATCTCAGGAAACAGGCTCGACAGCTGGAAAATGAACTTGACCTGAAACTAGTTTCCTTCAGCAAACTATGTACGAGTTACAGTCATAGCAGTACCCGAGATGGAAGACGCGACAGGTATAGGTACTACCAGATTCTGTCTCTTATGCCTTAACTAGCTTTTAAAGTGTTAAAAAATAAACTAAAATATATAACTTCTGTAAGTTGGTCTGTTGGTGAAGTTTTGGTGTTTTGTCATTGACTGTTTTATTTTTCAGTGACTTACGTAAGACTAGCATTTATTTGGAATCTTTAGACAAAGATTGTTAGAGTGTCAGGAGAAGCCTGCTAGAACCTCAGAATAAGTTTGTATTAAAAATATGAGTGTCTAATTCAGCCAGTGTAGGGAAAAGGTGGCTGATTTGCCCATGTGGTATGTATTTCTTGTGTTTTCCAATTGCTAAATGGACCTGTGGATCTACCCAGGTACCAAGTATACATACTGCTTTTCTGGTGTTTATTCTGTTAGAGGGTATCTAATGCACTGTGTATCCTTGTTATTCATTATCAAAGCTGTCTTTAATTTTGGTACTTTTTTGAGCAACTAGTATATTACCATGTTAAATGTATGGAAAATATGTTCTTATCTTTGAAGCTTATGCTCAATTTAAGTCTTCCACTTGTTTCAAGAAAATATTAGGAGTAGACAGGTACAGTGGATCACACCTGTAATCCCAGGACTTTAGGAGGCTGAGGTGGATGGATCACTTGAGCCCAGGAGTTCAAGACTAGCCTGGGCAACATGGTAAAACCCTGTCTCTAAAAAAAAAATAGAAATTAAAAAAAAAATTGTTTTAAATTAGGCAATATTTAAGACAGTTACAACGAGTAATATCATGGACCCCCAAGTGCCTATCTCCCATTTTAAAAAAGTTATAATTACTCATTCCATTGAAGCCCCTTATGGCCCCCCACTTTCTCCCACCCCTTAATCAACATGTATTCTTACTGCATGTTTGTATTCCTGAGCAATTCATCGTATTCTATTATGTTATATGGTATATATATAGTATAGTTATTTTACAACTTTTTTTTTCTTTAACATTTTTGAGATTCAGCAATGGATTCATTTAACTCTGGTATATTCATTTGTAATTTATATGTAGTATTTTATGACTGTATCACAGTTTAACTATTTGATGATGGCCATTGTTTCTAATTTTTGCTAATTAATAATAACAATTTTGATAGCTGACATAGAGTGTTCATTATATGTTAGGTAAGCACTTTCTATAAATACTGCTGGGAACATTTTTACACATAATGTTTCTATATACCTAGTGATGAAATTGCTGGTAGCAGAGTTGTTAATCCACACTTATTTTACATAGTTTTACAAAGATTAGAAGTGAGTAGGATATTTGTCAGCTAATAAAAACAATAAAATCTGAGCTTGGATTTGAATCTAGGTCTATCTCCAGACCCACAGTCTAAACCCTACTATATTGTGTACATTTGAACAAAAAGCTAATTTCAACACTATAGCCAAAGTACTGTTTCTTTTTCATAAGGACTCATTGGTTGTAAAGGCAGCAGGGCCAACATTGACTCTAGGATCTCAAAATAAATTACTAACACATCAAATAGATTACATTGCTTTAGACTTGGCTTTATTTAGCAAGTAAAGAAAATGAAGAATGTTCTTTCTATGCATTTTCTATGTTATGTGTGCTTCACGAACTAATACTTTTTTTATTCCTCTAAAGGAAAAACTATCTTGAAAACATTTCCTAAGAAATTCTACTACAAACTGAAACTGGCTTTGTAGAATTACTTCAGCCTAACTACCCTTTTAAATAAAAATCTAAGGCCATGAGGATCAAGATTTGATGTGTATTCTAAAGTGTCTTGTTTGATGCCCAGGTTGGAAGCATGTCACAATGAGTCAACTAAGCAATAACTAGAATATTATTTATTCCAGGAATCTTTCTTTCTTTCTTTCTTTTTTAACTTCCTATATTTTGAAAACTTCAAGGTCTATGAATCATTCATTACCCACCTATAAGATGAATTAAATTTAACTGAATCCTAGTATTGTGAAGAATTAGTTTTTGGCCATTTCCCTTTAGTCTTACACTGTCCTGATGAATATATGAATATAAGGAGTATGGAATAACCAGTAGTAGAGATTGCTCTCTCATTCATTCATTCATTCATTCATTCAACAAACATTTAATGAGCATGTACTATGTGCCTGGCTGTATACTAGGTGCTAGGCATATATCAATGAATAATACAGAGCGGTTTTTTCCTCCCTTCATGAAGCTTTAATTCTATTGGCATATTGTTCTTTTTCATATATCTGGTAGAGGAGGATTTATATTAGTAGTCTACAGAGCATTTTTAAATCTCTTTCATTTGCCACACCCAGGCACTGTCACAGGGTAGGACAAAGTCTTCAGTAAGATTGGAGCCCATAGTCATTGCCTGGGCATTTATCTGTGTCCGGTATAACTCCGATCTGTATTGAGCTGCTCATCGGATGCTAATACATATCTAACCTGATGAAAGTTAGTGGTGTTTTAGAAAAGGCAAAAGAAACACTCAGGACAGGTGGGTTTAGAATTTGAATCTGTCAAACATAAGTTTCACTTATAAAAAGATAGATTTTTGACTATTCAGATTTGAAAAGGCAATTCTATGAAACAAAAAGATGATTGCATACTGTAAGTGGAAATGTAGAAGATTAGTACCAAAGTATGCAGGTGGCTGTATATATTGAATTTAAAGCCAGTTCCTGAGTATTCGTTAGCTAGTTATCCAATCTGTGGATCATTTAAACCTCAATCTTATTTCCTCTTGGTAAGAGTCAAGGAAAGAAGAGAGAACTTAATGTTGAGGTTGAAGGAACCATAATTCCTTTGGGGTAAAAATGTAGAAGATTGTTTCTCACAGACCCTATATAACATAATCCATAATTCATTTTATGGTTCATATTAATTAACTTATTATTAAGTATGCTTTAAAGGACTGCATTTGAGTAATGGATCCTCTTTAACTGAACTTCTTTTTAGTTCTGATACAACACCCCTTTTAAATGGATCAAGCCAAGACAGAATGTTTGAGACAATGGCGATTGAGATTGAACAACTTTTGGCAAGGGTAAGCGCTTTGTTAAATGGCTGTTTTGCAAATTACTGTGTACTTGTTAGATAGGATCCTGGATTATATTGAGACAGACATGTTTAATGAAATTATCCATTCCATTCAAGATGTGTACCTCCCCACACCACTTGAATTTTGATGACAGCCATTCTCAGGTGATATGATGTTATTTTGGTCTTTATGGATTATGTGGGGGAATGCTTAATTCTTACTTGATATCTTGTTTGTTTTTTGTTTTGTTTTGTTTTGCTGTCAACCAAAAGGGCATATAGGCAAATAATTTGCTTTTAGCTGTTTATAGTGCTTAGTAAAATATTTTTATTTTTTTTTCTTTATTTCTAGCTTACAGGGGTAAACGATAAAATGGCAGAATATACCAACAGTGCAGGTGTCCCCTCCTTGAATGCGGCCCTGATGCATACATTACAGCGGCATAGAGACATATTGCAGGTAATATATTGGGCTCGAGACATTTTCATTATAACAGGAGTTCGGGTTTTTTTTTTTTAATCCCTGCATTGGATATGTGCACATGTATTTAAAATGACAAAGAGAAACATCTGAGAAAATAAATGCCATGCTAGAGGGACTTGTTTTACTTTATTTTTTTTGGTCACCATTATAAAATTCTGAAAATATCTAATAGCTCTTGCTATTTCCTGGTGAAGTTGACTGATATTCATCACTGGGTAATATAACTTCCATTCTGGGAGACCTAGCTAGCTAGCTGTAACCGTGAACTAGTCAATGGTCATGTATAGACAGTAACATTGTGGGTTAGAGTGTGCTTTCATCTGGCTTTGAAGATAATATGGAGGGGGAATAATTTACTATACTTAGTATATTGTTTGAGAAAACAATAAATGTTTATGCACCAGTAAAACTAAACTCTTAAAGATTTAAATGGAGGGTATGTTAAAAATATAGTAGTACAAATAGGAAGGCAATTTTTTTTTTTTTTGAGATGGAGTCTGTCTGTCACCCAGGCTGGAGTGCAGTAGTGCAATCACAGCTCACTGCAGCCTCAACCTCCCAAGCTCAAACAATCCTCCTACCTCAGCCTCCTGAGCATCTGGGACCACAAGCACATGCCACCACACCTGGCCAATTTTTTAAAAGTTTTTTTAGCAGAGACAGGTCCTTGCCGTGTTGCTCAGGCTGGTTTCTAACTCCTGTGTTCACAGGTTTTTGCTGTGTTGCCCAGGCTGTTCTCTTAACTCCTGTGTGTGGGCAGTCTACCCACCTCGGCCTTCCAAAGTGCTAGGATTACAGGCATGAGCTGCTGTACCCAGCCACAAATATTTTTAATACTGTGAAAAGTCAGCAACTATTTCTAATTTTAAAAACTGTTTTTAAAAGTAGGAATAGATGGCCAGACGCGGTGGCTCATGCCTGTAATCCCAGCACTTTGGGAGGCATGAGGTGGGTGGATCACCTGAGGTCAGGAGTTGGAGACCAGCCTGGCCAACATGGTGAAACCCCGTCTCTACTAAAGTACAAAAATAAGCCGGGCAATAAAAACATTCCCATTGAATAAAACAACACAAGGATACTCATGATCACTACAAATGCATAACATTGTTTTTTAAGTTCTTGATGGTGCAATTAAACAGTAAAAAGAAATGAAATGTAGGTTGAGCATGGTGGCTCACGCCTCTCGTCCCAGCACTTTGGAAGTCTGAGGTGGGCGGATCATTTGAGATCCGGAGTTGGAGACTAGCCTGGCCAACAGGGTGAAACCCCTTCTCTACTAAAAATACAAAAATTAGCGGGGCGTGGTGGTGGATGCCTGTTATCCCAGCTACTTGGGAGGCTGAGGCAGGAGAATAGCTTGAACCCTTGAACCCGGGAGGTGGAGGTTGCAGTGAGCCGAGATTGTGCCACTGCACTCCAGCCTGAGCAACAGAGTGAGACTGTCTCCAAAAAAAAAAAAAAAAAAAAAACTTGTAAATATTGGAAAGGAAGAGGCAAAATTTCTGTGAGGTAGCAGAATAAAATTTTATGTCTAGTATACCCAGGAGAATTACCTGATAAAAAGTTAGAAACAATTAAATTCAGTAAGATGGTAGATTATAAAATGAATATATAAAAGCAAATAGTTTTCCTACTATGATAGGAAATAAATGATAACCTGTTAGAAAATATAATGGAAGAAACTATAAAGTATTTATGTATGAATTAAATAAGAAATGTGTAGGACTTGTATGTGCAAAATTCTACTGAGGGACATAGAACAAGATTTAAGTAAAGGAAAGAATCAGTCCATTTTTGGATGGGAAGACTTTCGTCTAAATTGCATGGCATCCCAGTGGAAACAGCAGGGTTGTTTTGTTGTTTGTTTAATTAAAAACAAATGACAGAATGATACCAAAGTTCATTTGGAATCATAGACATACAAGAACAACCAAGAACAACAACCTGAAAATGAAGGTAAGTGGTAGAGGGTTTGTAGTTCTCCCAGATCTTAAAACCTGTTAAAAAGCTGAAATGATTGAAACAGTGTGATACTAGAGAAAAAAAAAATGAAATAAATAAGAACAGTTAAACAGAGTAGAGTTTATATGTAGACCCAACTATGTATGGAAATTTTTAGTTTCTGATAAAGATGTTTAAAATCAGTGGGGCAAAGAGAAATTATAAAATAAATGGAACTATAACCATTGCCTAATTATTCAGGGATTAAAAAAAAGAATTCTATCTCAATCCTCACATCCAGAACAAATTCCAAATGGATCCGAGAAGTGTAGAAAAAGAAACCATAAAGCAGAGGTGAAATTTATAAACTTCTGAGCAGAAAGGACTTTCTAAATAAGACTTGATACTGGAAACTGTAACAAATAACTAATTTGCTTACTACACAGAGAAATAATAGAAATAAGGAAAAGACAGTAGGAAAATGGACAAAGGATATAAAATTGCTTACAAAAAAATGAGTGGCCAAAACTATAAAAACAGTTTCAGCAGTATTTCCAAATAAAAATACAGAAATCTAAAAGAGGTGATTTTTCACCTGTCAGATTAGCAAATGTTGAAACATAACCCTTATTGGCAAGAGTAAAAATAAAAAAATGGCACTCATATATTGCTGGTAGGAACATAAATTGATGTAATGTTTCTAGAAGGCAGTTTAGCACTACCAGAATGTAAATGAATGTAAGATTCTTTGATCCAGTTATTCTTTTTTTTTTGAGATGGAGTCTCGTTCTGTTGTCCGGGCTGGAGTGTTGGAGTACAGTGGTGCAGTCTCGGCTCAGTGCAGCCTCCACCTCCTGAGTTCAAGCGATTCTTCTGCCTTGGCCTCCCGAGTAGCTGGAACTACAGGCGTGCACCATCACGCCCGGCTAATTTTTGTATTTTTAGTAGCAATGGAGTTTCATCATGTTGGTCAAGCTGGTCTCAAACTCCTGACCTCGTGATCCACCCAGCTCAGCCTCCCAAAGTGCTGGGATTACAGGCGTGAGCCACTGTGCCCAGCCCTGATCCAATTATTCTATTGCTAGGCATTTACTCCTTTTTTTTTTTTTTTTTTTTTTGAGACGGAGTCTTGCTCTGTAGCCCGGGCTGGACTGCAGTGGCCGGATCTCAGCTCACTGCAAGCTCCGCCTCCCGGGTTTATGCCATTCTCCTGCCTCAGCCTCCGGAGTAGCTGGGACTACAGGCGCCCGCCACCTCGCCCGGCTAGTTTTTTGTATTTTTAGTAGAGACGGGGTTTCACCGTGTTAGCCAGGATGGTCTCGATCTCCTGACCTCGTGATCCGCCCGTCTCGGCCTCCCAAAGTGCTGGGATTACAGGCTTGAGCCACCGCGCCCGGCCTTCCTTTTTTTTTTTTAAAGCTCTGTTGAACTTAATAGACATTTACTCTTTATTTTTTATTTATTTATTTTTTTTTGAGGCGGAGTCTCGCTCTGTCGCCCAGGCTGGAGTGCAGTGGCCGGATCTCAGCTCACTGCAAGCTCCGCCTCCCGGGTTCACGCCATTCTCCTGTCTCAGACGGGGTTTCACCGGGTTAGCCAGGATGGTCTCGATCTCCTGACCTTGTGATCCACCCGTCTCGGCCTCCCAAAGCGCTGGGATTACAGGCTTGAGCCACCGCGCCCGGCCATTTACTCTTTAAATACACTTTTTTTTTTTTCTTTTTTTTTCAGACATAGTCTCACTCTGTCACCCAGGCTGGAGTGCAGTGCGCGGTCTCGGCTTACTGCAACCTCTGCCTCCCGGGTTCACACCGTTCTCCTGCCTCAGCCTCCTGAGTAGCTGGGACTACAGGTGCCCGCCAGCATGCCCAGCTAATTTTTTGTATTTTTAGTAGAGATGGGGTTTCACCGTGTTAGCCAGGATGGTTCCATCTCCCGACCTCGTGATCTGCCTGCCTCGGCCTCCCAAAGTGCTGGGATTACAGGTGTGAGCCACCATGCCTGGCCTAAATATACTTTTTAAAAAAAAAAAAAAAAAGAGTTCAGTTAAAAAAATACATATAAGAAATGTTTATTGGCAGTATTTTTTTTTTTTTTAAACAGAGTCTCACTGTGTTGCCTAGGCTAGAGTGCAGTGGTATGATCTCAACTCACTGCAACCTGTGCCTCCCAAGTTCAAGTGATTCTCCTGCCTCAGCCTTCTGAGCAAAGTAGCTGGGACTACAGGTGCGTGCCACCACACTGGCTAAGTTTTGTGTTTTTAGTAGAGACGGGGATTCTCCATGTTGGCCAGTCTGGTCTTGAACTTCTGACCTGTAGTGATCCACCCACCTCAGCCTCCCAAAGTGCTGGGATTACAGGCATGAGCCACCGTGCCTGGCTCTTGCAGTATTTTTAATAGCAAACAAAATGAAAACAACTAAAGTGTTTATCAGTAGGGAATTTATTAAATTGTGATAGTCATAAGATAATATTCTATGCTGCAGCTATTAAAAAGAATGATGTAGTTTTCTTTTTCCTAATATGGAAAGATTGCTTGATACTTTATGAAGTACAAAAAGCAGGGTGTACATCAGAATGTATATTATGACTTATTTGGCAAAGTGAAAGAAATAGATAAGCTTGTATATGTAAAAACATATTTCCTGGCCAGGTGCAGTGGCTCACGCCTGTAATCCCAGCATTTTGGGAGGCAAACGTAGGTGGAACTCTTGAGGTCAGGAGTTCAAGACCAGCCTGGCCAACATGGTGAAACTTCATCTCTACGAAAAATACAAAAATTAACTGGATGTAGTGGCACACTCCTGTAGTCCCAGTACTAGGGAGGCCGAGGCACTAGAATCGCTTGAACCCGGGAGGTGGAGGTTGCAGTGAGCTGAGATGGCACCACTGTACTCCAGCCTGGGTGACAGAGCGAGACTCTTGTCTCCAAAAGAAAGAAAATAATAATTTCCTGGGAGAAAATGCAAAATGATGGTAACAGTGATGAGGGATGGAGCAGAATGTTTGTTTTCCTTTGTTTCACCTTTATTTCTTTTGGCGCTCTTTTAATATTCTCCTCCGTGTTTATGTGTTACTTTTGTTTTTTAAAAGGTCAACAGGGACTCTGTGGGAGACAAGACTTTTATTTTCTTCTTTATCTACATCTCCGAATTTATGAAAAGTAATGAATATTCTTAATATCTTTTAACAGTGGTACAAAAATAATAGAAAATGTTTAAAGATTATTTTGTTCCTTACAATTCTCTTGATTCTGTTCTTTTTTGTTTAGGAATTAAATTTTTTGTGAGAGCTCCAAAATGATGAACTTTGAAAATAAACTCTGTTATGTTTCCTGTTAAGTAGAAAGAGCCTCTCAAGTTTTCTCCTAGACTATTTGAAGTTATTTTATGTCAGAATTTTTTTCTTCTTAATTCTGTCTCATAAGACAAAGTACTAGGAGGTACAAAGGAGAGTGATTTAATGGCTCTGTTTCCCTAGCACTGAATTATTTTCATTTGAAAGAAGCTGGTCACTCTTCAGCAAAGTAATTTTAAATTTATTTTTACCTTTGGTTAATTTAATTTTTTAAATAACAGTTTTCTTGACAAATTTACAGTGTGATGATAATACATAACTGGTTCAGTGAGATGAAAATCCTTAATTAGCTTCTATTGAGACTGGATGTTGATTTATTACAGGATTATACACATGAATTCCATAAAACCAAAGCAAACTTTATGGCAATACGGGAAAGGGAGAATCTCATGGGATCAGTGCGAAAAGATATTGAGTAAGTTGCCTTTTATATTATTTTGTAGAATATTTATTCAGATTTGACTTTAGGATATGTTCACGGTTAATTGCAAATTAAGCGGTAGAACCATGGTTGAGATTTCAGGGTTTCCAATTCCCATTTCACTGTCTTTTGAGCATTGCTGCTACAATGTAATCCTAATCTACTTTTCCATTTTTATCTCATGCTTCCCCTTATTTTATCATTGGCTCCTGCCAACCTTGACTTTCCTGTCTTAATTCAAAGTCCAGCTTAGATGGTATCTTCATGGTTCTCTCATCTCTTACCACCCACCCTAAGAATTATAATGTTACTTTTATGATCCTCTGCAGATGTGTCAAAGAAAAAAAGAAATTCTTTAATTATAACATTATCCGTAACTGAAGCTCTCCATGTTTCTCTTCCTGATTATCACCTATCACTTGCCCCTCTCCCTTGTCCCAACAATTATATATTACAAACAACAATATGTACAGACTCATAGCCTTATGTTAAATTATTTAAGGACTCCCAGCATTCTCATACTGATCTCAATCTATAATTTAAAATATTTGTTTTTTCCCTCCGTCCCTTTACCTCACTTTTAATGATCTATTCTAGCATTTCATGTGCATTTTTGGAGATTTTTTCACAACTGAACGCTACTGACAAAGTCCCGTGGGCATCTCATTGAAGCTGAAGACTTTCCAGTTTGAAGCTATCGAATGATACCTGTCATCATCTCATTTGTGATAAACTATGTGATATGTTTTATAAACTATGATACACATTTATCATAAACTATATATTATATGTACTCTCAGAAACACTTTCCTAGAGATCCTTTATTTTGTTGTAACAATAACAGTTTCAGCAGTAAAACTGTTGTAATATTTTTAGTCCTTCAGGACATTTAAGTCTTTTGTTTAATTTCTGTATAGTCCATTTATATATACATTTTGAGGAATGCAAAATGGCCATAAAAGATATGTTCATCTATTCATTAAACTGTCTCCTCGGTACGAACTCTGAGTTAGCCACAGTAGAAGGTAGAAATGAAAAGACCGGCCAGGCGCGGTGGCTCACGCCTCTAATCCCAGCACTTTGGGAGGCTGAGGCAGGCGGATCACTTGGGGTCAGGAGTTCAAAACCAGTCTGGCCAACATGGTGAAACCCCATCTCTATAAAAATATAAAAATTAATTGGGTGTAGTTGTAGGCGCCTGTAATCCCAGCCACTTGGGGGGCTGAGGCAGGAGAATCGGTTTAACTTGGGATGTGGAGGTTGCAGTGAGCTGTGATTGTGTCGCTGCACTCCAGCCTGCATGACAGAGCAAGACTCTGTCTTAAAAAAAAAAGAGAAATGAAAAGACCAATGTGGCCCTGTAGGAGTTTAGAATCTAGGTGCTAGAGGAAAGTATATGTAGTAATTTACACCGTAATTTTTAATATATTTTTTGGCCTCACAGCAATCTTTTGGTTAAGATAGAAATCATCAGTCTCATTTTACAAAACTAGGTATTGAGACACTTGTCTAAGGTGAAGTGACTGTGAAATGATGGAGTATAGATTTAAATCCAAGTCATCATGTGTTCTTGGTTATATCATTCTGCCTTCCTGGGTGGTGTTTTCTCCTGTGCTTTGCACAGTAGCCCTGCATCTCAGCCAGTATTTCAGTTTTAACAGCAGGACTCTTTTGTCTTACTGTAGTATTTGTACACTTTACTTGAATTTTAAAAATTTTGGGCTGGGCATGGTGGCCCATGCTTGTAATCCTGGCACTTTGGGAGGCTGAGACAGGTGGATCACTTGAGCTCAGGAGTTCAAGGTCAGCTTGGCCAACATGGTGAAACCCCATCTCTACTAAAAATATAAAAATTAGCTGGGCATGGTGGTGGGCACCTGTAATCCCAGCTACTCAGGAGGCTGAGGCACGAGAATTGCTTGAACCCGAGAGGCAGAGGTTGCAGTCAGCCGAGATGGTACTATTGCACTCTAACCTGGTTGACAGAGTGAGATTTCATCTCAAAAAAAAAAAAAAAAAAAAGCAAAACTTAGCCAGGCATGGTGGTGTGCTCCTGTAGTCCCAGCTACTTGTGGGGCTGAGGCAGGAGGATCACTGGAACCTGGGAGGTTGAGGAGGCTGCAGTGAGCCAACATTGTGCCACTGCACTCCAGTCTGGGTAACAAAGTGAGAAAGTGAGAGTGTGTCTCCAAAAAAAAAAAAAAAATTGTTCCTGATACTTTATTATTATTGGAAAACAGAAAAATTAAATTTTCGATAGTAGTGATAAGAGTAGTTTTTTTTTTTTTTTGAGATGGAGTCTTGCTCTGTCGCCCAGGCTGGAGCGCAGTGGCGTGATCTCTGCTCACTGCAAGCTCCGCCTCCCAGGTTCACACAGTTCTCCTGCCTCAGCCTCCGAGTAACTGGGACTACAGGCGTCTGCCACCATGCCCGGCTAATTTTTTGTAATTTTAGTAGAGACGGGGTTTCACCGTGTTAGCCAGGATGGTCTCGATCTCCTGACCTCATGATCCACCCGCCTCGGCCTCCCAAAGTGCTGGGATTACAGGTATGAGCCACCGTGCCCGGCCCAAGAGTAATTTTTTTGTCAACTTCAATACACTGAAGACCAAAATGGTTATCCTTAAGTGTGCCAAGATGAGCAAATCTTTAGCTTGATTTCAGTGTTACTTAGGCTTCAGTTGGTGGACTGCATGTATTATTGTGAAAGAAAACATTTCATTTCAACAGCTTTCCCACCCTGTGTGCTATGTACTAAATCAGTCCTAAGTTTTACTTCCACTTGGAGAAAAATGAAGATATCAGAGATAGGAGGTAAAGGAAAAGTAAGATTTTTTTGGTGGGTTGTTTCAGAATGTTGAGTTATTTTGGTGAAAAACATTGTAAACTGTGAGGCCTAAATTAGAGAGGCAGAGGCATTAATATTTACTTATAATAACATTTTTCAGAGGGAAATGCAAAGGATTATGCACTTTCATTGTTCATTCAAACTGTGGAGAGGCTCAATTTTTCTACTTTCAAGATCACTAGGGTCAGTCACTTAATCTGATTTTATATTCTCTGCCAAAAATGTTTTTAAATTTTCTCTTTTGTTCCAGATCATATAAAAGTGGGTCTGGAGTAAACAATAGAAGAACTGAGCTATTTTTGAAAGAACATGACCACCTTCGAAAGTAGGTATTGAATGTATGTGCATTATATGGTTTTTGGTTTTCCATGTTTATTAATTCATTTACTTATGTAACCAACATTTTATGTTTATTATAATAAGTGCCTTGTCCGTGCTAATTCATTTTATTTTCCTAATGACTCTTTTCAATAGAAAAGGAATTGCAACTGTTCCAACCATAATTAGGAAAGATCCCATGCTGTTGACTATTTCACATCACTTAATTGTTACCGTAATATGATTTTTTTTTGTTTTGAGATGAGTCTCGCTCTGTCGCCCAGGCTGGAGTGCAGTGACTCGATGTCGGCTCATTGCAGCCTCTGCCTCCCGGGTTTAAGCGATTCTCCTGCCTCAGCCTCCCAAGTAGCTGGGACTACAGGTGTGTGGCACCATGCCTGGCTAATTTGTTTGTATTTTTAGTAGAGATGGGGTTTCATCATGTAGCCAGGATGGTCTCCATCTCCTGAGCTCATGATCTGCCCGCCTCCGCCTCCCAAAGTGCTGGGATTACAGGCATGAGCCACCACCGCACCCGGCCAGTGCGTGCGCCAATTCTCTACAGAGAGAAACAGACAGGATGAAACTGAATGTAATAAGAGCTCCTGATGAATTAGATGAGTTGTTGAGACTGAAAAGACGGGCTTAGTCATTGCTCTCAATATGATAACACGAGCTTCTAAATACTTTTCTTAAATCAGTTTTTTTTTTTGTAAATTACAAATACTTGCTAGGTAATAAAAGAGCATTAAAATTATTAGTAAAATATGTTTACAAAATAATGTGAAAAACTAGTTTTTCAGTGTTTTTGTATTTCATTTGCTAAGTGCTTTGAGGAAGAAGTGGCAAGATTTTTTTGAAGTAACTTTAAATAACAAAAGCTATAAATGCCTTTCGTAGTGCTCATTTTAGAAAGTACGGATAGTTCAACAACACAAAAAGAAAGTTGAAATCACACATTACTACAAATTCTGTAACATTGTTTACTCTTCAGTAGTCCAAGCTTTTCCTCCATGTAATTTGATTTTTTGGTTTGTTTTTCTAAAATAAATGGTGCATATATTCCATAATAAAGATAAACCATAAATTATGTAACCATTTTCCTAATGTTGGCCTTTTGGATTATGTTCTGTTTTTACTATTATACATAGTAAAGCCTTTGCATGTATCCATCGTGATTTCCTCACGATAAATTCCTAAATTAGAATTGCAGGATTAGAGAACACACTCATTTGTAAAGTGTTTCCTATAATATTGGCAAATTTCCAAGTTTGATGTTTTGCAGTAGGGTCAGACTTTTTATGGCTAGAACTATGTTTAAGCTTACGCTCCTTCATAAATATTGTTTTTTCATGTTGTTATAATTTTTTACTTGTTCCAAAAGTACATATTTTTGCCTGGAAAAAGAGCAAGTCAGTTTTTATAAATGAATGCCAGACTTAAACATACATACACAAAACTTACTTTGTAATGAATTGTTTTTACCAACTCTCCTTAATACTCTTTTTATCTAAAAATAAATGCTGTTAGGTTTTAGCAATTTATGTTATGGATGACAAATTTCTTTTCCTATATGGTGGATAAAGTAACTTTCATTTTTGGCTTATCTTTCCCTGAGTCTGTCAGTCAGAAGAAAATACTGACTTTGAATTAGTGTCAAGCTTGTAGCTACTTGTTTTTTGATGGACTGCTGATACATTCTTATAGGGTTTTTGGTTGCTATTTAGATTAATTTTTCTTTATATAATTGTTCTTTTTCAGTACTCCCTGATATTTTTCTTCTTGAAAAAGTATCTAGTTAGTTTTGTATTTTAAAGTTCTCCTCACCCCAAGAATTTCTGCTTTTATAATCTTTTCTTTCTTTTTTCTTTAAGGCAGAGTCTCACTCTGTTGCCGAGGTTGGGTGTTGTGGTATGATCTCGGCTCACTGCGCCCTCTGCCTCTCAGGTTCTAGCGGTTCTCCTGCCTCAGCATCCTGGGTAGCTGGGACTACAGGCACCTGCCACTACACCCAGCTAACTTTTGTATTTTTAGTAGAGATGGGGTTTCACCATGTGGCCAGGCTAGTTTTGAACTCCTGACTTCAAGAGATCCACCTGCCTCAGCCTCTGAAAGTGCTGGGATTACAGGCGTGAGCCAATGTGCCCAGGCTTTTTTTTTTTTTTTTTTTTTTTTTTTTTTTGACTTGGGGGTCTCACTTTGTCTAATATGGCTGATTCTGGCCAACATGGTGAAACCCCGTCTCTACTGAAAATACAAAAATGAGCCGGGTGTGGTGGTGGGCTCCTGTAATTCCAGCTACTTGGGAGGCTGAGACAGGAGAATTGCTTGAACCCGGGAGGCGGAGGTTGCAGTGAGCCAAGATCGCGCCATTGCACTCCAGCCTGTGTGACAGAGTGAGACTCTATCTCAAAAAAAAAAAAAAAGATATATGGCCGATTATATTGTTGCTGTCTTTATAGACAGAGAATTAAGGAGTAAAGAGGACAGACAGACTATATTACCTCAAACATTGAAATGCCACGATTTATCCAGAATCATACATTCAATTTCCTGACCATGCATATGGTGCTTTTTCTCTAGAAGCATTTTGTCATTTTGAATAGAATATGTCTTCTGTATTTACCTTAATGAAGTTGACAACTTTCAGAGGTTTTCACTGGTGAAGACAAACTTGAATAAGGAGATAACTTACACAAGCAGAAAAAGCCTCATCTCTTCTGGATTCCTTTAATGCCAGTGGTCATCACTAGGTGTAGATCAGTCACCCTTTACCCAGGCTGGGACCTCCACCTTCTCATCTACAGGTGTATCACCTTAGCAGTCTTCTGCATCTCACTGTCACCCAACACATTTTCTCCTTCCAAGCCTCTGCAGTCTCACCAGTTTGTATTTTTCTTATAACTGACCTTCCTACCCTATCCAGCCTGGATCTCATAGGAGATTAACTGAAATACTCCCAACGTTGGGCCTTTCCTGGGCCCCTGTCTTCCTGCTGTACCCTGGTAAAATGCCAGCCCAATCCATAGTCTGTTGTTCTACTTCTGTATGAGAGGGCTAAAGAAAAAGCAACTAGTCATACAGATGAACCCTGTTGTAAAGTAACTGTTAAATCTTTTCAACCTCATCTGAGTGGTCAGCCTTGTCTGATGCCTTTTGCTTGCCTAGTCCTCCTGTTTAGTTCTCTCATTCTCTTCAAGAACTTTACCAAATCTTCTCCTTCCCCCTCTTGACCTTCCTGTCTCTTCACCTGATACAGAGGTTCTTAGTTCCTACTTCAATGAGATGTTTAAGGTTTTGCTCTTTTCTACAAATTGACCTATAGGGGTATCCCTCTTTCCCCCTTTCCTATAGTTGTTAGGGGATAGAATATTTGTCCTGAGAAGGCCAATACACACATCGGACACTTGTCTGTATCCCCATTTGCTATGTAAGTATTTGACTCTCCAGCCATCCGGTATACTGTCTCTATCTCTGGTTTACACCTGCTGTCTCTGTGTCAGTACTCACTTCCGCTTTAGCCCATTGGCTTCCTCCCTCACAACACTACTGAACTTGTCAATAGGCACATCAGTGATCTCCTGCATGCCAAGTCTCATGGACATTTTTCTTCATGTTGTTTGTCTGCTGCTCTGCCTGACTTGATACTATAATCTCCTTTCCTTGAAACCCTAGGCTACTGTAGCACTACACTTTACTGATTCTCCACTTACCTTCCTTACTTGTTTTTGTTTTTTTCCTGAGTCCTTCCAGGTATGGCTTAGGAATCCTTTCAAACACAGTGCTCGTTGGAGTTAGTTCACAAGATGCAATTTATTTGCCATCCACCCTTGCATTTCAGCTCCGTTATTTGTCCTTGACATGCCTGTCTATAAAAACACTTTCTCCTTCCCAGAGATGGCAGCTAACAAGACCTAGCAAAGAGAAATGGGAATTTTCATTCACAATTTCATAGGGAAAGCAATTGATAAGATTATTTTACTGCCAAGGATAATAAGATTAATGAGAGAGTTGAAGAAAGAGGCATGAATTCTGAAATTGTCTAGAACCATCTAAGAGGTAAAGCTGAGGAGTTTTATCCATACTTGTAGGCTGCGATTATTTTCACAGAAGTACTCTCTGATTTATAGGCATGTTATTGATCACAACTAGAATTGCAGATTGTGTGCATTTAATACGTCAGCTTAAAAATCCTTGACATTTTAAAAATACCTTTGGCAGAGTTGTACAGTAGTCATGATATTTAAAATATTATTCTAATTTGTTGGTTTCCTAGAGTATAATTTCATTTAGTCACATGTATGGTAAGAACATACAGACTTCTTGCTGGGGGCATTGGCTCATGCCTGAAATGCCTATAATCCCCACTGCTCAGGAGGCTGAGTTGGGAGGATTGCTTGAGGCCAAGACTTTGAGATGGGCCTGGGCAACATAGCAAGACTGTCTCTAAAATAATAATAATAATACTGAGTATATTTCTTGGTTTCTAGGGTTAATTTTTTTTCATCTTTCTCTCATTAATTTACCACTTTTATCTGACTAAGATACCTTAAGTTTCTTTATTCCTTGGATTGGTAGTATAATGAAATTATTTGGGCAGGGTTTTGAAACCAGAGAGACCTGGGTTCAAATCCTGGTGTGGATTCTATCTTTTGAGGTAAGGTCCTTTAAATCCTCTGACTTTCCGTGTCTTTTAAATGGGTAATATAACCCTTACTTTATGGACTGTTGCAAAGATGAGAGAAGATGTATGTAAAATGTTTACCTATTACAGTGCTTGATATGTAGTAGACGAATTATAAAATTATACTGAGCCATTTTTCCCATAGTGGCTTTAGAAAAGAAAAGTATACTCATACATTAGAATTGTGCATCTAGGGCTAAGTGACTCTAGCCCTGTGGAACCTGTCAATGCCAGAATGGTATGTAGGACTAGATAGATTAATGTCACCTGACCCTGATTGTCTATTGAAACTCAATGTATGGCCAGGTGCAGTGGCTGACGCC